TTCAAAAGGAATAAGTGATATCACCTATTTGAATGGGTGATATCACCTATTCGAATAGGTGATATCACCAATTCAAATCAAATAGGTGATATCACCTATTCGAATAGGTGATATCACCTATTCGAATAGGTGATATCACTTATTCGAATAGGTGATATCACCTATTCAGAATAGGTGATATCACTTATTCGAATAGGTGATATCACCTATTCGAATAGGTGATATCACCTATTCAGAAGCTGAATAGGTGATATCACTTATTCGAATAGGTGATATCACCAATTGAATAGGTGTTATCACCTATTCGAATAGGTGATATCACTTTTTGGCAGTAAATACCAAAACGGCGCCTCATACGTTCACCGTTTACCAACCGTTCACCAAATTGCGTTAAAGCATTCACTCACCGTTCGCTCTGCGTTCGTTCACCGTTGGCTCACCGTTTGGTCACCATTCCAGTGTGAAATAAAATATGTGGAGATAACGAACAGTATTCGAGCTCAAAAGTCCACTAAACATTACAAAATAGGAGCAGAGCAAACACGGACCTCTAACCCTTGAAATGAGTCATTTTCGGGCTTTTTCTGTTTAAAACTTAGAAATGTACCAAATTTATGATGTCATATTTCCAGAATGGTCCTCCTTCATGTCATATTCTTCCATGATTCTTCAATGATTTATCACATGCCTTTATTCAACTCATATTTAAACCAATTTCATAACTTTTTGAAAACTTTAAATTTTAAGGGCACAATAAAGCCCAAACCGTACTTTCTTCTTTCTCCTAAATTTTTTGCTGTTTTGATATTGTACGAAGCACGACAAAAAGTTTGAAAAACAAACGTACGGAATCCAAACTTTTACTCATTTTTTTTTCTATAATTCGATCGCGATTTTATTTGACAATTTTCTCTAAAGTTTCTCTTTATTGTTCTACCATTATGTATTTAGATTTCTGACGTAATATTTGAAGTCCTGACGTGATTGTGATTTTTCTCTGATGTGATCCTTACGAAATCATCCGCGAAAATGATGTATCGTATTTGACGGAGCAGTGCACTTTAAATTATATGTAATTTATCAAATTATGAGTAATGCTCCAGAAAAAGCCAACATAGACCCAAATTAAGCTTGATGAAACTTGTAGTAAACCAGGGTATTCCCGACATCTGTCTACAAATAAGAAAAAAATAATTTTAGACGGTAAGACCTCAGTAAAAGGCAATACGGGAGTGAACTGAAGAAAATCATCGACGAAGACTGTCTTGAAAAAGATTGTTGAGCACGCGATTGAGAGGGACTGACGTCACACAATATTTCAGAAATATCAGCAGTTTGGGAGTTTGAACTAACTACAGACATTGGGAATAAGTGTGGTGGTATATTTCTGCCCACTACATGCAAGATAAATATGTCAACAAGGAAGATAACTAAGTCTACATGCAAGAAAATAATGTTATTTTGCAAGTTACCAATGTTTTCAGAGAATCATGGGTAAATTTACTTACGAACACCAGTTTCTGACATCATACACGCAAGATGCAACATAATTAATTTGACTTTCGACTTATTTATGTCAACATGCGATTTAATTAAGCGATTTCTTTAAGTCAACATGCTGGCCACAGTGCACAATACTGTACTTACACCATGATGGATAATCATTCAAAAAGATAATTAGCCTCATAACAATGGACGAAAAGGAAACAGGCAAGAAAAGTTGTAACATGGAAAAGGCCTGCTTTGATAAGGTGGGCAATGTGGCCCATGGGCTTGAAGTTATTTCATCATTTATACATGTTTATGTTGAATATAAATTTTATGACTTACAATTTCAGAGAACATCTTTTCAAACATTAAACTTTCACATGATGTTTGGCATGCTGCAAGAAAGTAATTAAAGCAGGTCAAACAAAGGAATGCAGAGTATTATTTGATTGGAATACATATAATTAACCACTTCTGGTTTTCCTGTTGTTTTGCTACAGACTTGGATAATTTTATGGTAACACTTTTTTCATGTTATTCTTATAAATGAAATAATTATTGTTTTGACTCTCTTTTAAATCTAATAGATATTGATAATAATATTATTGATTTCTTTTCAGGAAATATGGTGTGGTATTGTTAACTATGTTGTGAATGAACAAGAATGGGATATTTCCTATAGCAGCAACTTTTTTGGTGCTTGCCAATGTAAGCATGGGCCACTGCAGGGGGACCACAAGTAGTGAATGAAAGAAAGCAGTCCTCCAAACAAAGCCTTTGTCCAATTCGTTTTTAGCAAAAGATTTTTAAAGGTTATCCCATACTACCTTAATTTTAGGTGTGTAATGTCATTTGTTACCTTCTTGGTAAATAATTATCTTCTAACCAGAAAGTTGTATTTCCTGTATTTTAATACTTTGGTAGGATGAAATATTTCATCTCTGTTACGTTGTGGTACAGAAGCACTGCAGAGAATCGGACGATGAGGGGTTATTCTTTTTGGGGACTGAAGACCAGCTGATAAGTGACACTGTTGAAATTTATATATATGCAATCTGAATGGTATTTTATATATCCAGTTATGTTGCAATCAGCATTGAAATACGACTACGTTTGAAATAATTCCTTTAATAGTGGTTGAGAATGCATTTCAAACCCAACATCACCTACTTTTGAAATAACGCTCACTATTGAATACTAGTAAATATAGGGATTATAATTTTTGTCCCCCGCTTTCACTGAGATTTGGGGATATAAAATTGGGTCCATCCGTCCGGACGATATCTCAAAAAGCCGTTTAGCTTTTGCAATGAAAATTTATACAACAACTCCTTTTGGCATAAAGAAGACACCTATTGATTTTGGGGTCAATAGGTCGTAAATCCATACATTCTGTCTGTATGTAACACTTTCGTTTCCTCGTTTCGTTTCGTTTCATTGAGCAGTGAGAGATCTGTATCGTGCCAAAGCCTACTGTTATATGCGGCCTTTTTTAAGGACTCATCCGAAAGACCCACAACTTTCTCTTCAAAGTGCCGAGAGCTTGGCGAAGGAACAGTTGCTATCTATTTTTTATCGACATAGGTTACTCGCGGCCGGGGTTTGAATCCACAATCTTCCGATTACTGAGCGACTTTTGCAATGAAATTTTATATTACAACTCCCGATGGCCTTAAAAGATCCCCATAGATTTTGAGGTCAATAGGTCAAGGTCAGATATTCAATCATTGCACAAAAAGTTTCCAGATGATAATTAATTTAGTTTTCTTTGAGCTTTTTCAATGAAATATAATATCAAAACTCCATATGGCCTAAAAACACCCCTTTTGATATTGAAGTCAAATTCTAGGATAGAAATTCATTTATTATTTTTCTAATAATAGTGTATTTCAATAGTGGTTGCAACGTGGTGATGGATTTGGAATGCATTCTTAACCACTATTGAAATAATTATTTCAAAAGTGGTTGCAACATAGCAATATCATTATGTAAACAAGATACTGTGGAATCATTTCAATTCGTGGGGGTCAATGTTCGAGGGTAAGCAAAATTTTACTTGTTTGTGGGGACATAATTTCGTGGGAAATTCGTTTGTACGGTGGTTCAAGGAATCAATATGTTAACAAATTAAACGCTTGCTGGGATGTAAATTCAACGATGATTCCACAATAGGTAGTCACACCCTGCAAAACATAAATAGACTGGATATATTTGTTTTGTTTGCTTGTTGTTTAACGTCCCTCTCGAGAATTTTTCACTCATATGGAGACGCCACCACTTGCCGGTGGAGAGCTGCAAATTTTGACCTATACTCGGCACTCAGGGCCAATAAGCAATGACGGATCTTTTTCGTGCCAGCACCTACTGCTACACGGGACCTCGGTTTATACGGTCTTATGCGAAGGACCGGTCTCTACGTCCCGCAGTGGGATTCGAACCCGTGACGTAAGGATCAACTACTTACTCCGCGACTCTAAAGCAGACGCTCTAACCACTGCGCCACGCGGGCGACTAGACTATCCTCTAGACTGGATATAGATGTGAGGATAAAGTCTATGAGTTAGCAACACATGATCAGTCTTTGATTGTCAGATTTGTACGAATACTAGTACATGTAGTAGTAGAATAACCATGCCTGTCGCTTATATCTATTGTAACTTTATCAGAGACTGAAAAAAAAAATTATAAGCCCAGCATTAGTTGTTCAATTACAGAGTAGAATCTGATATATTTTAACAAAAGATATTATTTAGGCAATCAGATTCTGGAACGTAGTTCGCAATTCGTAATTCAAAAGTGAACTGATATTAGGATTTGAATGTAGAAGTTTCTTTATTGATTTTTTTTATTTTTTACTTTTAGTTTTCAATACTTTTGTTATGCATTTGATATGCAATATTAAATAAACGTATACCTATATACATGCTTGAAAAGAATAATGTATAATACCCCTCTTTTCCCAAATCTTCACCACTTAGTTTTAGTGTTACCGTGTTCCTTTCCCCTCGATTTTCTTGGCATTCAAAGTGTCTACAGGTATGATTATGGTACTTTATTGAGACAATCAATAAACTCAAAGCTCTTCATAACCCTCGTGTATTGTTAAACATTTTCCTTGCTTTAAAGTCCCAGTGTTGGTTCAATAATTATAAATATTATTATATTAGTTCATGTGTTTCATCAATCATTAAATGTATACTTTGAACCTGACAATAAAGTTATAATAAAAATGACCAACAGGACTTATCCCATTTAATTCAGAAATGAATTTTAAACAATTCTAAGAAATGAGAAATTGTACTTGAATATGAAGACCCCATTATAAATTTTTTCTAGTCAAATGAACATGATGAATAGCTCAAATTAATGTCGTAGTATACACCTGTTTGTTTACATTTCAATGCACATCTGGAGTCATACTGAATAAATTTAAAGTCCGACTTTAAAGTCTTTGTAATCAATTGACTTGCATACCAAAAAACTGCGCCATTAGAAAGCAACACCTGAGAAACATGGCTGCCGACTCAAAAACTTATTCACTGGGTTCTACACTAGCTCACATTGAAATGTGTGAATCCCATGACTTACCCATTGATATCATATGTGAGGACGGTGATGAATTCATTTGTACCAAGTGTGCCAAAACAGATCATAAAGATCATGGTTGGAGCACACTACCCACGGCAGGCACCCAAAGGAGAAGAGAGCTACATAAATTTCTGAGGAAGATCATGGAAGAGGATCTGTCTGAGATTGATGAGAAGGTACAGAATATGACAAAACAGATTACAGAAAATAAAAAACTGTGTGACTCTGAGATGAAAAAGGTAGAAGATCGTTATGCCGAGATAATGACCAGACTGACAGAAATCAAAAAAAGCCATGAAAAAACATTGAGAGACAATTTGGTTAGAAAGAATGATCAACTGAACCATATGAAATCTGAGTTAGACAAGAATAAGAGAATTATCGTAGACAAAATGGAATTCATGGAGGAGAACAACAGCACCATGTCAGATTACAGCTTGATTGACAACCAGAGAGAACTGACGAAAGTGCTGTCTAAGATGAAGGTTCATATGACAAACTGTGAACATTCAGTGAGGTTCACTAAAGGTGATATCAGTGATGACTTACTTGAGGCTTTGGTTGGAAAAACTTTGGATTTAGATGATACTAGTGTGACACAAACAAGCTCATTCAAATATGGAGACAGACGAATAATTTTTTTGAGAGCATTGTGTGAAGATCAATGTTACTTAAGACAATTTGAGTCAGCTAACACTGAACAAGTAAACACAGAAGGTGAGAATAAACATAAATATAATATTAAACCTTATGACATGTGTGTTAGTGATGCTGGTGATGTTTATTGCACCACCTTTATTAGCAAATCCATAAGTTGTCTATCACCATCAGGATCTGTTTCTACAGTCATCAGTACAGATCCTTTGGAACCAGGAGGAATCTGTCAGTCAGTGAGCGGTGGTCTACTGGTCACCTTGATAAACAAGGAATCACATCCTTACAAGTTAAACTCGCAAAGCAGACGTCTGGTGAGACACATCACAGTGACGGGAGATGTCATCCATGAGTATGAGTACCAGGAGGACGGCCAGACCAGATTGTTTACATTACCAGTCAGAGTCACACAGAACAGTAACAGTGATATCTGTGTTGTGAACCGTTTAGGTCGAACTACAGGCAATCTAGTGATTATGTCTCCCTCCGGCCTTTTGAGGTCAGTTTACGATGGACAGAACCATACAGAAGACTTTTTGCCAACTGATGTAGTGTGTGACCCCCACTGTAACATCCTTGTTACAGACCAAAATAACAAACAAATCCATCTCCTGAGTCCTGATGGGGAGTTCTTAAAGGTGTTATTGACAGAAAATGAAGTGAACCTTCCATTCTCACTTTCCCTATACAAATCTACACTGTGGGTAGGATACTATGAAGGACTTGTCAAAGTATTTCAATATAAATTGTAAAATGTAAATACATGAAATGTAATATACATAAATGTTGATTAATTCCTGCATGCCAAAATTGACAGTGGTATGAATGAGTATCTTAAAAATCATCTAACTGTAATAGTTTGATAATTATATCTAGAGTTCTCATTTTTGTTATCAAACAAATGCATTCATAAAGTAAAAGAAGTAGATTCAATGTGCTTACCATTGTTTCAACAAAACATTTCTGTGAATTACCGGGGTATATTTTTGAAGCATGTTAATACACAATTGTGATACATTAAGCACTATTTACAGCATTTTCTAGAGAATCTTCATAGAATAAGATTTTTGATACCTCTGTAGATAAGGATACTTCATTATTTCGTTTATTAAACAATAATACTTCAATGGTATAAAATACATTATACAGAAATGTTTGAATAGTATTCTAGAAAGAGTTCGGGGTAGTTGCCACTGTTAAGGAAAAGTGGTGAAACAGAAACGTAAGAATTTTTTATCTGTTTTTCATGTCTCCCTGTGCCAGTCACTTTCTAGCTGTATTTCCGTGAATAATATACCTTTACTCGCAACAGTTTCGCTGTAGTCTTGTCATAGTTTGTAAGAACTCTTTGGGTGTTATAATTTGCTGAACACCACAAAAAAGGCTTCAAACACACTTATAGAGATGTAGTTTAGGATTAAATTGTTGTTACTGTTCAAGACATCAATATAGTTTTCATCAGAATGAAAGAAGGAAATATTCGGAACCAAGCTTTTATATGCATTTGTTCTAATCACATTTTAGCATGTAGTTAAATGATTATATATAAGCGGACAAGAAGTAGTGCAAAAGGCGTTACAATATGATTACCGCTAAAAGATGTACGTTCACAGTTACAGCTGAAACATGTGCAAATATATCTATATTTACCAGCAAAACAAAACATTTAATACGTATCTTTCACTTTTCTACACTCATTCGGTAGAGCACTCGCTTCGTAATCGGAAGATTGTGGGTTCGAGCACATTCGGATTGTAATAAATACAAAAT